TCTCTCTCTCTCTCTCTCTCTCTCTCAGCTGATCTCTTCCAGATTGTTCTATCCGTTTGTCTCTGGTTACAGATGCCTCACATTTATGTCCATCAACGAACTCAAAACATAAACAATTACACACCAATACAACGCCACAAAAAAAGCGAACAAAATGATAAAATGGCACTGGATCGATACACAGCTACACATAAAATCAAACTGATACATACAAAAATAAACAAATAAACGAAAGGCGACATACCGTAAAGAGATTAATTAAAAAACTAGCAACCGAGAGCTGAAAATGTAAAAAGATAACAGTAATAAACTGGCTGGTTGATTTCGAGTTTGCATTTAGTGCGTCATAGTTCTGATTGCCGTTATCGTTGCAAGCTGTTTTGTTGTTATTGTTGTTGTTGTTGCTGTTCTTGTTCTTGTTGCTGTTGTCACTGCTGTTGTTATTGGAGTATAACGGTGCTGCTTTTTTTTTCTTTTACAGAGAAAGGCTCTTGTATTGAATGATCAACAACATATCCCACCCCCCCCCCAAAAAAAAAACACCAAAAAAAACAAACAAACAAAATTAATTTAAAACAAAATTGGTGTTTCGCAATTCCAACATGTCGATAGAAATCCGGTTAGCACTAGAGAACACCTGTCAAAAACATGATCATAATTCTAAGGATATTCCATCGCTCCCTTCCTTTCCGACGTGGCAACAACGGGACTAGGATTGGTCGCCACAGGCGCGTCGGCCATGGCACTCCGAAAAACGAAACCAGGAGGTCAGATGTGGATCATTTAGAATACAGCGAGCACTGAGTTGGAACTACGATGGGCTCTGTGCCTTGACTCTTACTTACAACTCGTCGAAGGCATTTTCCCTATTTTCTGGCAGCAAGTTTATTTAATGATGTGCAAATATATGTTACCACATTCATCATAAAAAGCTTATATTTCTCGCTACAAACTTGTAGTTCCAACCAAAATATTGAGACAATAATGAAGATTTGATATTATTATGAGGAAACAGAGTGCACACAAGGAACTACATGTATTTATAATGACTGAGGAAAATGAGACACATCCTTCCCCCTAAAAGGCATCGCTTAGTCAGAACACTTACCAACTTTTTAGAGTTAAATACATGTGGCTAGCAAGGAGAGCATCGTATCTCGAGATATCAACATTTTGGTACTGAGAGATACTGCTTGGGTTATGACGGCCAGTCTCCAGCTATACAAGCTAAAGGTGAATGTGTGTGTGTGTATGTGTGTGTG